CTCATATTTTGACTTGATATCGTGAGATAGAAACAAATATAAACAATCTATTTGGGTTTTAAAATTTGTTGGTTTCTCATATTTTGACTTCAAATTGTGTAAAAAGAGGCATATAGTGGTAATTCATTAATGTTTTATAATTTGTAATATTTTAACATTTTATTTGTAAGAACAATCTTCAGTCAGATATTCATTTCTCCTTATTTAGTCACATTCACCTAAATCTTATCTTTAATGTCCTATCCTTTGTGTGTGTCTTATGTTCAGCTGTAGGTTTATCTCTTTGTCTACCTTATCATCAGCTGTAAGCGTATCTTATCTTTAGGAGTTGCACTCTAGCTTCAATTGTTAGTGTCTCTTGTCTTCAGCTGTAAACGAGCGTCGGGTGTTGTTAAATGAAACAAAAATTACATTTTTTCAGTGGTTTTATCAAGTATGTCGGATTGTTGAATAGTAGGTAATACCGTGCAAAATATAAAATAACGTTTTGTTCCACTTTTTCGGAACCAAATCGATCTGTATAACATTTTCAACGCTTACGTGTATCTTCTTCTGTCCAACGATTGGTTGTTGACACACATACACTACTTATTTTATATCAGAAGATCCAATTACGTTAAAGACATGTGACGTCAAAGAGAGGTTTCAGCTTAAACTTACCTTCAGTGGTGTTTGAAGTTTGGATTAACGAGCCTCTCACAGTTTTTCTTTTCGCATGATTTCCAGTTGATTTTATCAACTAATTTTTTTATATGTAAAGAAATAGTATTAACTTCAGTAACTTTGTGTGTGTGTGTGTTCTGCAATCTTGTTAAGTAGGCTCAACTAATCAACTACCAATGTATCCATCCGCTAGTTCTAGATCACAAATTGTTCTGCAATCTTGTTAAGTAAGCTCAACTAACCAAATACCAATGTATCCATCCGCTAGTTCTAGATCACAAATTGTTCTGTAGTCTTGTTAAGTAAGCTCAACCTAACCAAATACCAATGTATCCATCCGCTAGTTCTAGATCACAAATTGTTCTGCAGTCTTGTTAAGTAGGCTCAACTAATCAAATACCAATGTATCCATCCGCTAGTTCTAGATCACAAATTGTTCTGCAGTCTTGTTAAGTTAGCTCAACTAACCAAATACCAATGTATCCATCCGCTAGTTCTAGATCACAAATTGTTCTGCAGTCTTGTTAAGTTAGCTCAACTAACCAAATACCAATGTATCCATCCGCTAGTTCTAGATCACAA